GAAAAGGCCTTGTGCAGACTTCTAGCTGCCCCTCCCGCCACTCACTGCCTGACGCACACTGCAGAAGGCCTGTCATGAATCCCGCAGTCTATGTAACTCCGGTGAAAGGTGAACGCGGCAGGCCTGGGCTGTCCAAACCCTGCACATTCCAAACAAGAGACTGACCTTCAACCAACTCCGAGGAGATGACTGTTAAGCCCTGTGCTAGCAATGTGATTAATGGTGGAGGCCTTGTGATGTGTCGTATCAGTTTGACTCTGGAGGGGCTGGCAGGGCTGGGGATGTAGAGTCTTATTTAATATCCACAGGGCCCCGGGTTTGATTCCCCATCACTGCTAATAAATAAATAACACTGCCACAGGAGGCTGGTGGTCGCGCATGCCTGGAATCCCAGCTGCTCTGGGGGTGCTGGAGACCCAGTATCTAAGGTCAACCGCACAGTGCTCTATGCTTACAGACTGACTCCCAGTTAAAAACTCTGGATGCCAAGGCTTGGGTGAGCGACTGTGTGTTGTCGCACATCATTGCCTGGAGACATAGCACTGTTCATGTGACTCCGCAGGGCGAGGACATCTGGAAGCCCATGTCTGGTCTCTCCCTTTGCTGATCAATTTATCCTTTCCCTATAAAGAGCTCTAGCAGTGAGTAGATGGCTTTTCAGAGCCCTGTGAGTCCTTCTAGCAAATTCCTGTACCTGTGAGTGGTCTCAGCATCTCACACTGAGCATGGCCGAAACTAGTTTTTGGTTTGCGTTCCCCGACCCTGTCCTCACCCCAATCTGTTCTCATCCAAGTCCCCCCCCCCATACAAAAATAAGCCTCGTTCTTCCAGGGGCTCAATCCCCAAACCTGCAAGGTGCACAGCTTCCCTCACAGCTCACATCCAGCTCCTCAGCAAAACAGCAAAGGCTGTCAGTGCAGAATCCCAGATTGACAGGAAAGTGCACGTGATGGGAGCACCGCGCTGGATTTCTACCATCTAAACACACTGGTAACCAAACACCCAAGACAAGACACAGAATTTTACCAGTGGGAGTCCCACCTTGGAAGTCATTAGACATTCACCAGCAAGACTCTTCCTGACTTCTGACAGCACAGATTCCTTGAGCTGTTTTTGCGTTTCTAGTGACAACATGCCCATGAACTCTTGTTATGTCTGTGGTTTTTTTTTTTTTCTCAACATTATAGTTAAAAGCTTCTTCTATATATTGTTTGTGGCTGTAGATCATTCATTCTCGTTGTTTAGTGTTTGAGTACGTGAACAGACTACTATTTATCCATTCTTCTGTTAAATAGCATTTAGTTAATTTAGTTCCTAAATTCTGGCTATTCTGCATGGTGCTGTGTGACTTTGTTCCTATATTTTTTTTGGAGGGGGTACTGGTGATTGAACCCAGGGCCTTGTGCACACAAGGCAAGCACTCTACCAACTGAGCTATATCCCCAGCCCATGTCCCCATGTTTTAGTGAACACATTTATGTTTGGTACATATATTTAGGAGTGGAATTTACGCTACAATGTTTGCAAATGTTCTGCTTAACTAGGTACAGCAAAGGGTCTTCCAAAATGACTTTATGTGTATCAGTCACGAACAGGTATGAGAATTCTCTCCTTGTCCACTCTTGGTAGTTTTCTTTTCATTCTATCCACTCTTGATTAGCAAATTTGCAACAATTTGTGCTCCTTGTGCATGCACTGGATTTTGCTATCACTTGCCACAATCTTTTAAAAAGAATATCTCATTTGGTAGCAATTAGGCCATACTCTCTTATTTTTCTGGACCCAATGGTCCATCCCAGGTCACTGCAAAGGTACTCTAAGAAGAATGCTTCCCAGCCTTGAGCAGGCCTCTTGCTACTCTTGATTTTGCAATAATAATAATAATAATAATAAATGTTTATCAAATGTCAGAATAAAATACATAGATTTTGACAAAACATTGAGTAGCTGAGCATTTGGCCAAAGGCAAAAATCATAATCATAATATGAATTTTAGGGAATATAAAAGTAAATCTGAAAGTTTATGAGAAATTTTAAATTGTGTGGGGTGAGGGGGCCAGGGATTGAACCAAGGGGCACTTAACCGCTGATCCACATCCTTACCCCTTTTTATTTTTTAAATTTGAGACAGGGTCTCAAATTTAAGGCTTAGGGCCTTGCTAGGTTGCTAAGGCTGGCTTTGAACTTGCAATCCTCCTGCCTCAGCCTCCTGAGCTGCTGAGATTACAGGCATGCACCACAGTGCCTGGAAGAAATTTTAAATTTGGATCATAATTTTACTTTAAAAAATTTAGTGGGGCTGGGGATGTGGCTCGAGCGGTGGCGCGATTGCCTGGCATGTGTGCAGCCCGGGTTCAATCCTCAGCACCACATACAAACAAAGATGTTGTGTCCGCCGAAAACTAAAAAATAAATATTTTTTAAAAAATTTAGTAAACAAACTTTAAATGTTGGTTGTTATAACTTCATAGCATCATCAGCTACAAGGTGCTCCCTCTGGCTACTCTACTTCCTATGAATAAGGCTAAATGGCTACAGAAAGAACAAGACTTTTTTTTTTTTTTCTTTTTAATCAGCTCTGCTAATGGTGAACTATCAAGCTTTCTTCTTCCCTAAAAGTAATTGACGAGAGTGGAAATTTTACCTCTTCTTCAATCCTTAAGCTTGATGAGGATGTTGTTTCACTGGAATAATTCCACAGACTGAAGCTGCACACTGCTTTTAAAAAGTTGCTCGGGACTCTCTTCAGAAGCTGACTTAAGACTTCTGCTCTTGTTTTCTGTTGCAGTAATGCTTTGCCAAACATCATCAATGCTTGCTGCATTTGACCTTTGCCCTACTTCCCAGCAATCTATTGATACATAGTAAGTCACCCCAAAATGTAGTGGCACAGAACAATTATTTTGTTATACTCCTGGGTTGAATGTGTTGAGAATTCACATAGGGTACAACAGTAATGTTTTGTTTCTGGTAGCCAATGTCTGGGACTCAAATGCAAATGGTTGAGTGACTCTAATGGGAGCTAGAATCATTTGGAAGTTTCTTCGCTCATATGTCTGGTGCTTTGGGCTGAGATGCTATGGAGCTGTGCTTAGCTGGGCACTGTTAACTGGAGCACTGGTGGCTTCTCACTATGGTTGTGCTTCCTCACAGCATGGCAGCCAGAAGACAGCTGAATTTCTTACTTGAAAACTCAGGCATCCAAGAATGAGAGTGTTCCAACCAATAGGAAAGAGGATGAACCTAGCCTGAGAAGTCACAAAACGTCCCTTCTCATTACTCTATTGGTTCAAGGTGAGAGGACAATCACACAAAATTGATCCCACCCATGTTTAGGGATGCCAGAGATGACAATGAATTAGGCATTCAGCCATTTGGCCTCACAAAGGTCAATTGTAAAACTGAATGCGAAGAAGAGATTTTTCCATGGAATACCAAAGTCAGAATTGGTTTTTCATTGCATCTTTCATATGTGAGTTCCCTGAATCTTCAAAACTTCTAGATGTGAAAAGTTTCCTGGAGAAACGGAAGGCACTTGGAGAACACAAATCACTTCTCTGAAATGAAACTGCTAGGAAGCAGCGTTGCTAGGATGTCCTGGCAGGAAACAGAAGGCAACTCAACACTGAGCCACTGAGGAGCACTTAATCAACTATTGTAATGCCAGATTCCTGGGACCCCAATAGACCTCTAGGAGCCTAATCCGATGCAATCACACAAGAGTCTTTATTGCAAGTTCGAGCCTGGACTCATAACCTTTCCGACACAGCGGCCCCAGGGAGTGAGTCCTGGTCCTTTGTTCAGTGAGATTTTATAGGTTTTGGGGGATACTCTATGCATCACAACATCACACAGCAAATCATTCCAAACCGCGGGAAAATCAAACAACAACTCTTAACATTGATTAGCACATTCAATGGCAGGAACAAGTTGAGTAGGAGTGCTTGGTTAGTACGAAGGGGGATTCATTTGAACTGATTGGTTTAGGCCACGAGGGGTGTACATGCTAAACTACATGGTTTCCCAACATGTTATCAACCACCATAACCTACTGGGGGGTCATCTGGCATCCCAGGTATTTTCCCTGCCTCATGCTGATTGGAGGTTGCTAGGGGGGTTGCTATATGGGTCCTCACCTAGCCTAACTGAGTCAGGGACACCTGGTGCCTCAGACCTCTCCTGTTATTTACAGACAAACATCTCAGCAGGGTGGGTATGTGCTTAGGAGTGCTCTGTGGATTTTTTCAAGGACAAGGGTCATGCCCCTTTCCTTAGGACAGGCCTTGAGGTAGAAGCTGCTGTTATTTATTTTTAAAAATGGAGTCACATCAGTTTCTCACTATAAACAAAGGTGTTAAGGCAGCAAGTTGAAGAATCAACAAGGTCAGGTGATGCACTCATCTCAGGCCTAAAGTAGTTGCCTAAAAGGGAGGGAGAGATTTCTAGAAATTTCTGGAAGGTTCCAGAACCCAGGAACTGTAGGGAGAGAATGCTGCTCCAAACGGAGCTGTGGCTATTATGAGCGGAACTAGGGGCAGGGGCAGAAGACATTAAAGCTTCTCTTTCCCTTTGCTCTCTGATTTCTGGTGTCTCCCAGGAGGGCAGAGGGTGAGAGTTGTTTTGTGCACAGCCATGGAAGTCAGCGCCCCCACCCCATCCCGAGACCCACACCAGGCAGTCAAGGGTAGAAAGAGCGGGTCTGCAGGGGCGATGGGGGGCTCTCTAGACCCCTCGCGGGGTGCACCCCTGAACTGTCGCAGTTTTTGCATCAGCTCGCTAGACCCTACTGCAGAGCCCGCCGCAGGCCACGCCGCCTCTTAGCAACCAGCCTCCAGTTGCCATGGAGACCGCCGGAGCTGCGGGGGCCGAGACCCGGCGCCGCGGTGCGGGAGCAAGTGCGCAGGCGCGCGCTGCGACGCCAGGCTTGGTCGGCGCAGTTGCTGCTGATCCGGCCCGCTTCGCGTGACTCGGCGCGCCGGAGCGGGGGCGGACTGCGGCTTCCTGCCCTGTCTGGCTCGAGCCGCAGCGCCAGGGCGGCCGGAGCCGGCTGCTGAGGAGTGGCTGCACCCCGGGGCCTCTCCTTGGCCTGGCTGGGCCGTCCGAGGCGGGGCTGCCCGGTCCATCCCTGCCGCTGGCCGAGCGCCAGCCCCGAGGACCGTTGCGCCAGATCCCGGGATTCGTGTGAGCACTCGGGCCCCGGCTGGGGAGGAGGGTCTGGGAAAGCGCGAGGCCGCCTGCGGGCCAGCCGCAGTGGGCCGCTGAGGTCCGGGAGCCGGGCTAGCTTCCAGGGAATCTGACCTCACCCTCTTGTGACCTTGCAGGATTCCTATCTGGGGACCCCTGCAGCTCACATCCACTTAGTAGGCCCTTTGCGTGGGGTTAGAGCGGCCAGATGTCGGAGGCTATGGCAATGAACCTTCTGGAGGATTGGTGTCGCGGGATGGAAGTGGACATCCACAGGTCCCTGTTGGTCACGGGCATCCCAGAGGACTGTGGACAGGCAGAAATCGAGGAGACCTTGAATGGGGTCCTCTCGCCCCTGGGCTCCTACCGCGTGCTTAACAAGATTTTCTTGAGGGAGGAGAACGTGAAGGCTGCCCTTATCGAGGTTAGCGAGGGTGTGAATCTGAGCGCCATACCGCGGGAGTTCCCAGGAAGAGGCGGTGCCTGGAGAGTGGCCTGTAGGGACCCCACCCAGGATGCCGAGTTTTTGAAAAACCTGAACGAATTCCTGGATGCCGAGGGGCGCACATGGGAGGATGTGGTCCGCTTGCTGCAGCTTAACCACCCCTCGCCGTCCCAGAACCAGCCTTCGGAGAACTGGGCAGAGACTTTGGGGGTGCTCCTGGGGGCTGTGGTGCAAGTCATCTTTTACATGGATGCGGAGATCCGCAGTCGGGAGGAAGCTAGGGCTCTGGAGGCCGCCGAGGCAGAGGAGGCAGCAGCCTGGGTATCAGCAGCAGGGAAGAAGGTCAAGAAGGAGCCGGGGCTGGCTGCAGAACTGGGTTCCACCTTGAAGATGGAGAACCCCCGCCACTGGAATGCCGTGGAAAACCAGGGTGACCCTCCCAAACCTCTAGTTCGCAGGGCTGGAGCTAAGGCTCGCTCCAGGAGAAAGAAGCAGAAAAAAAATCTCAAACAGGAACCAGTGCCCTGGAAAAAGCCCAAAGGCAACCGTCCCAGTAGCTCCGCCTACTTGGAGAATCGCAATGCCGGGGAGGGGGAAAGCATGGAGATCTCTGAGTCTATCAAGAGCAACAAAAAACCATGTGTGAAGCAGGAGGAATCAGCTCTGAAGAAGCCTTTGGCAAAAAGTGCCTGGAAGGTGCCCCGGGATCCGCCTCAGGAGGCCCCTAGGGAAGTGGAGAGCCCTGCAAGCACTGCTCAGTTAGCTCAAGGTGGTGGTCAGCAAAGGCCCCCAAAGAAGAAGGCCATGGGCTGGGCCTCCGGAAAGAGCCCTGCCCCCATGAGGAAGAAGAAGAAGGTGAGCTTGGGCCCAGTCTCTTACGTCCTGGTTGATTCCGAAGAGGCAAAGAAGAAGCCCATGATTGCAAAGAAGGCCTCTGGCTTGAGAAGGGATGTGTCAGCCCAGAAGGGCCCTAGAGGCCTCCAGCACTCCAGATCACAAGCCTCAACATCCAGGGGTCTGAAGGCCAAGCCAGGAGGCTCTCCTCGTGCCTCCAATGGTGAGGATGACAGCATGTGATTTGGATGAAGTGGGAGGAGGGGCAGAGGGGCCTACAGGGGTGGTAGCCAGGCAGGTGACTGGGGATCCCAGTGCAGTGGAGGAGGTGGATGACCCCAGGTGAGGTTTTAGAGGGTGAGAGCCCAGGCTCCCTCCTAGGAGCTCCTGATGGCTTCGATTGCCACCCTCCCCCCATTGCAAACCCACCCACCCACATGTCATGCATGAGTGGCTCTGTGGTCACTGAACCACTGCACATAACCCATCTCTCTCCACAGGAATTCAGGTTGGGGATTGTACTGTTGGTGGGTACATGGCTTTAAGGATGAGCTTTCTGGAGACCTGATTGGGGGATGGAGTGTTCGATGACTCAGAAGGGCCTGGGAGGTGGTGATGTCCTCCGGTGCTTCTCCCTGCTTCTTCTCTTGAGCTCTTATACTTTACCCACAGATTCCAGAAAGCTTTGAAGGGAGACCACCCATGCCCGTGGAGGTGAAAGAAGACCAAGGAAGAAGTTCCAAGTTAGAAGCAAAGCTTTCTCTTGTCATTGAGTGAAACGACACTTGGCTCTTTGAGGGACCCAGTTTCTAAAGGTCTGGCTCTCGGAGGTAAATGATATGAGATCTTAGGTCTTGGGAGAAATTGGGGGAGGGAGGTGTGTCTCTCTGCCTTTTTCTCTACCAGGCCAGCTTTTCACCTCCTCCTTCACTCACCCTCAGAGGGAGGAGGGTTGGTAAGTGGCTTGGGAAAATTCTAGAATGTTCATTACCTTTTATGCATGGGCAGGTTACTGTTTCGCTCATTCATGTCCAGCCTTTCTCCCCACCCCCTGCTTGCTCTTCTGGATGGTCAGCTAACCTTCAGGCTTGGTGTTTGAAGAGCAGGGCACCTGCTTTCTCCCCTCCAGCCTCCCTGGGCCGTGACCGGCGGGTGAGTTAAGCCCAGGTCTTGGATGCACACCTGGCCCTCTTGCTCCTTCAGTCTTGAGCTTCCATCCTCCAGTTGTCAAACTGGAAGGTGGTTCAGTCCCAAGAGTTCTGGGAAGAGTGACTGTCTGCCTCGCCATTGAAGTAGTCAAGTTTGAGAGTCTATTTATAAAATTGGCACTTTGACTCCCGTTTTGGGCTGAAGCCCTTTCAGGAAGCATGTGGAGAAGAGGGGTGGTTAGTAGGGAAGACTGGGTCATTCCTGGGTTCTTGGCTCTAGTTCTATCCAGAGCCACCAGACTCACCAACTTTGAGGCAGAAGCCACTTCTCACATAGGAGAGGGGGAAAAAGTCTTTTAAAAATTAGCTGTTTCTGCTATCTGGATTAGACACACTAAATCAGAACAGATCGCTCCGTCCCATAGTGTGTGTGTGTGTGTGTGTGTGTGTGTGCGCGCGTGCGTGTGTGCGTGCGCGCGCGCGCATGTGTAAGAGAGAGGGCAGGGGCCCCAAAATACAGTTTCCACACTGTATTTTGGGGAATCCCAAGGTATCCACAAAGATGTAATCCAAATCTACTTTCTCATGTGTTTTAATGTGTGAAAAACAAGTACTCAAGTATGTTGTAACCCAGACCAGTCACATCGAGAACTATCAGAATATTACCTTGTGTTTATAGGTTAACTTGTTTCTGTACAGGTCTGTAACTAGTCGTTTCTGCCTTCTCTTTGCATATAATTAAATTACTTGTAAATGTGACCTGATGAGGAAGCTTGGCAGTGGGTGGCTCGGTCCTGCGCATGTCTGAAAGCTCGTTTCCTGTTGTATTTCACATGCTCTCGTTCTGCTGTGACCCTTCAGCTGTGTGATAGCAAGTTACCATGTTAACCCGCACACAATGATATCCTGTCCTGGAGTTTTAGCCCTCGCTAGTGTTCGTGGTCTCTTTTTCTGACTTTGGTTTTGTGGTAAAAATGTGAACAATTGTTAGATGTTGTTAGTGATTCAACTTTAAGACAAATTTCTTGTGACGATTCATTTCAAAATCCTGCATGAGTCTCACTGAAGATATAGAAAACAAGAATGGTTCCCACCTGCAGCTCCTCCTCTCCGCCTCAAGGTTTGTCTTGGTTGTGTGCAATTAACACGGGGAGGACTGGACTCGCAGGGTGACGAGGCTGCAGCTGCCCAGCTCCTGAAATTCAAGTCGGGTCTGTGGGGGCTTGTTGTACAAAAGGTTGACACCAGGGTTAGTAAATGTAAATGTATATGCATAATAAAGTTCAGCAAATTAAGTATCTCTTCAGTCTTCTCTGTAGGTGGAGAGCACGGGGACTGCTTGATCCGGTAAGGAACCCCTGCTATCTAGGCCTCCTCCTCCACCCCAGCTATGCTGCAGCCAGCAGACCTGGGTTGTGGCCACAGGATTGGTAATTTCTCAGGAGAGGAGAAGCCATTTGTTCTTTGCTGTGGTCCTTCCCCAGCGATAATATCTCCCATAGATCTTAGGGTTTCTAGAAGATCTATGATAGGCCAGGGGTGTGTGGAGTATCTGGAAATGCTAGTTTATTTTAAAAGCAGCTGAAAATGAAGATACTTCCTCCCTTTTCATCGCCCTAGGCAGAGGCTGAGGTCTTTGAATTAAAAGTTAGTTTTCTTCTGTCCAAGCCTTCCCCCCACTAGGGACTCCTGAACCAGGGTGGCCATGGATCAGTCACCTGGAACCTCTGTTTAAAATGCCCTATTTTTATGGCCCTAACTGTAGAATCAGAAACTCTTGGCATCTCTGGGAATCAGCATCTTTCCCCTGAGAATTCTGGTTCATGCGTGGATCAGAGAGCTGTAGGTGGAATAATCAAGACTTGGGGAAGGGAGTATCCTTGGGTCAAAGCTGGAGTTTTGTGGAGGATGAGCAGAGGATAATCCGGAGGGAAAAGACAAGAGACCTCAAAAGCCAGTGGGGTTGGAGGACGGGAGCTGTGGCCTTGGGGCTGGTGAGGATCTGGGGAAATGCTTATTCTCAGGTCTTTCCCACTGCATGATGGGAAAAGCCACGTTTGGGCAAGATTGACCTCCCACAGTGGTAGTCACGCCTGGTTAGATTCAGGCCACTAGGGAAGTCTGGAAGGCCACCATGGCCAGAAGCAGGGGAAATCTAGGACAGGACCTGGGTAAGGGGTTGTGGGCCCCCAGGAAGCCCTTGGGGCAGTGACTGGTCAGGGTGTGCCTGGGGGCAAGGCCCAGCCAGGGTACTGGGGGGAGTGGGAGCAGAACAGAGGAGCACCATGGACACTAGGAGCATCAGGAGGTGTCGTTTCCTTGTGGGTTCATGCTGTCCTCCAGCCAGGATTACTAAGTATCACTGTATGACAGCCAGAGACCAAACAGCTCCATGCTTCCAGGAGCCACATGCTTCTGATGGTCACCCTGTAGGGCAGACAGCATGCTGAGCACCGGTGACCACAGGAGGTGGGGGCTCTAGGGTGCGCTGACCTTCGCTGTGTTGCTCAGGCTGTCCTCAAACTCCTAGGCTCGGGTACCCCTCTGGCCTCTGCTTTCTGAAGAGCTGGGGCTCCAGGCAGCCAGGCCTGGCCAAGCGGGCTGTTGTGCGTAGCAGTGGGTGGGGGTTCTTCGCCGAAGCAGTGCTCCAACAGACCTGCGGAGGGACAGGGAGTGAGGTGAACACTGGGGCGTGGCATCCAGGTAGAGGGAACTGTCAGCATAAGGGGAGGCAAGGAGGCTGGTGTGACCAGAGCAGAATTGGGAGGCGGATTGCCTAGGGCCAGTGGGCTCCAGGGAGGGTGGATTTGTTGTTCTGGGGGGTGGGGGAGAGGGTACTAGAGATTGAGCTCAGGCGCACTTGACCACTGTGTCACCTCCCTTTTTTGTATTTTATTTAGAGACAGGGTCTCACTGAGTTGCTTAGTGCCTTGCTGCTGCTGAGGCTGGCTGTGAACTAGCAATCCTCCCGCCTCACCTCCCAAGCCGCTGGCCTTACAGGCTTGTGTCACGGTGCCTGGCTGGATCTGGGTTTTAAACTGAGTGAAATGGGAGCCCTGGGCAGGTGCTGAGCAGATCTGACTCAGATTTTCACAGGTGTCTTGGTTGGCTTCTGTTGCTGTAACAGATACCTGGAAGAAGGAGTGTTCATGTATCTGTAAACACGAGAGGTTTATTTAGAGCACAATACTGGAGCTGGAAAGCCCAACAGCATGGTGCTGGCATCTGCTCGGCGTCAGCCTGGCATCTGGTGAGGGCCTCATGCTGCGTCACCATGGCAGTGCAAGCCGTTGGCTCAGGTCTCTCTTCCTCTGATAAAGTCACTGATGTGTTGCCACCAAAGGTGGCACAGACCTATAATTCCAGCAATTTGGGAGGCAGAGGCAAGTTCCAGGCCAGCTGGGCAACTTGCAAGATCCTTAGCTACTTAGCACGTCCCTGTCTTAGAAAATAAAAAGGACTGTGGATGGGGCTGGGCTGGGGCTCAGTGGTAGAGCATTTGCCGAGCACAGGTGAGTTCCTGGCAGACCCTAACGCTGAGCCACTCCCATCCACGGAGACCAGGTTTCTCAACCAAAGCTGTTTTACCTGACCCAGAGCTTTGTATAAATTAAGTCATACAAGGCATAAGCTTTTTTGTTTTATTTTGATTTTTTTTTTTTTTTTTTTTTTTTTTTTGGTGCTGAGGCTCAAACCCGGGCCTCACACATTGGCCTTGAACTTTTTTTTTTTTTGTTTATTTTGAATTTTTCAATTTGCTCTTTTTAGATACACCTGATGGTAGAGTGTATTTTGACATGTTATACATGCATGCAGTGTAACTTATTTTAATTAGGATCCCATTCTTGGGGTGGTGCATGATGTGGATTTCACTGGTCGTGTATTTATACATGAACATAGGAAAGTGATGTCTGATTGGCCTTGAACTCTCAATCCTCCTGCCTCAGCATGCACCACCACGCCTGGCTGAGTTCATTGCTTTTTAAAGAAAAAAAGTTATACATCTCTGTGTCTTTAGAAAAATTAACAGCAATGTTGTAGAAGCCCGTTGGTTCTCTCCTCCCTGTATTCATCCCCTCTTCTTTGGATGATTTACCTATTTTCTTCTGAAGAACAGACCTGCATCTACACCATCACCACTGCTAGGCCCAGAGATGTTACATGACTCACGGCCAGCCAATCAGAGCATTCTTTTCACCAGGCTACAGTGATTGAGCCAATAAGGCTCCTAGGAGTTTGACACTCTGAGGAATAAAGTCTTTTTTTATGTGGTGCCGAGGATTGAATCCAGTGCCTCATGCATGCTAGGCAAGTGCTTTGCCACTGAGTTTCAGCCCATCCCATAAAGTCTCTTTTTTACTGGTGTCCCCTACCAATAGAATGTAAGTCTGATGCTGATGAAGGCCTTCTTGCCACCACCTGGGCAGGAAGTACACAGGCTCTGAGGCAGGTTATTTCTGCTTTGTGGGAGACCAGTATACATGGAGTGGAAGGGAAATAGTAGGAGGTGAGGTTACAGAGAGTAGATTTTCTGAACCCTAGACAATCAGTGGAAAGCGGCTAGAAGAAAGAGAATATTGTTGACATTTATATACGAGCCTGGATCTAGCCATACCTGAAAGCCAAAACTGTTTTTGGTTACATAAGTCCATAACTAACATTTTTCTTTTTTCCTCTCCCCCCACCACCTGACAACATCCTGAATTAGCTCATGTCATACTTGAAATGTGCTGGTACATACATACCCTTAATCCCAGCGGCTCAAGAGCCTGAAGCAGGAGGACCGCAAGTTCAAGACCAGCTTCAGCAACTTAGCAAGGCCCTAAGCAACTTGGTGAGAACCTGTCTTTTAAAAAAAAAAAAAAGGGCTAGTTAGGGAGGTAGCTCAGTGGTGAAGTGCCTCTGGGTTCAATCCCCAGTACCCCGCCCCCCCGCCATAGGATTACAATGAAAACTAAATCATCTTTCCACCCTTGACCTCCTCTCTTCCTCCCCAGAGGAAGTGTTAATAGTTTCTTGCAGAGATGCTCTGTGTACTTGGAACAGTCCAACATTTACATGCATTCAAACTAGCTAGAGAGAGAAAAAAGGGATTTACTGGCTTCTTACTGAAATGTCAGGGGCGATAACTTCAGGTATGTTTCTATCCAGCTGCTCAAAGAACATTCTCAGGATTCTGGCTCCCTGTCACTCTGAGCTCCTTGCTCTCTGTGGGTTTGTTGTTAGGCCAGCCTCTCCATGGGCTGACAGGTCGCTGCCAGGAGGGTAAAGCTGTTAGTTCCTTGCAGCTCCCCGGGAAAGTGAGTGTTCCCTTATGGCTCTAGTCAAGTCTCAGGGGAAACTTTTCTTTTTTTTTTGGTACCAGGGATTGAACCCAGGGGTACTTAACCACTGAGCCACACCCCCAGCCCTTTTTGTTTTTTATTTTGAGACAGGGTCCCTCTAAGTTGCTGAGGCTGATCTCAAACTTGTGCTCCTTGAGTAATGTGGACTTTAAATGTTCATATTTGGCATGCATTTCACTGCATGTAAATTACATTTTGATAAAAATGTTTTGTGAAAAGTAACAAGGGGTTATTTTAATTTCATCTTTGTAATTTTTTTTTTGTTGTTGTTGTTGGTGTTGGGATTGGAACCAGGGCTTCACACATACTAGGCCAGTGTCCCACCAGAGCTACACCCCAGCCCTCATCTTTACAGTTCTGTGCTCTTAATATACAGCCGAAACCATAGCATTGTATACTAAAATCGCAGTTTGAGATGGGCCAGCTTAACACCGACTGCGTATGATCATAGCTCTTGAGACAAACCTGCTCTTGCCCTCTCTGTGTGCTGTCTAGACTCCTGATCCAGGCGCTGTGGATTAAGACCAGCCGAGGGTGGGTGTGCACTTGAAATTGTGCATCCAATCCACATCTCAAGGGTGTACATGTTATACTCAATTTAATGATGGGGGCTGGTCTGTGGGGGCTGCTTGGTCCAGGTGAAGGTGTGACAGGTCTGTGGCCCAAAGGAGCTTTTGGAATAGTTTTCCTGCCAACTGTGACCTTGACACTGACAAGGGGAAGGTGCTCAGGTACTAGAGGATGTTCAAGACTCAAGGTGAGCCACATTTCTCATCCCTGACTTGCAGGTGGCCAGGCTGCGTTCACCAGTCCAACCTGGTGTTGGAAAGTAAACTACTTAAAATCCCTTGCTTTCTGAGAATGGGACAGAACATTCAGGACACTAAAAATTCATGTGGGTGGATTAGCCTATAGGTAGATAATCAAAATGGATTATGAGACTCTGAAATAAA